GATAATATTAATAAACAGCATTTGTATTGCACATTATCTCCGTGCTCCTCTCGACAGCAAACTCTCTGCTCTTTACACTTACACTGTATTATTATTACCCCACTAGACCCAAGAACACTCAGAAACATTCTCAGTTTCCTGGAAAGCATAGGCTACAGTGCAAACAGCTGATTAGGCCCTCAGACATTAACAACCTCACAAGACCTTTAGCTATCTGTAGGCAGAAACCCATTCCCAATAGCGTAATGAAAATTGTGTAAAGTGCCTTTCCCAAGGACACACCATCGAGCTCCAGCCGGGATTTGCACTCACAACATAAGTCCAAGAGCATAACCACAAGGCCACTGATGTCATATCCTGGCTGAAAGGCCGAGATACTCAAAAAAATTCTCCCCGTTCGAGAATCGAACTCAGGTCCCCTGTTTAGTTTTTAAAAAAAGTTTTAGTAGAGTTTTTACGGTGCTCGCAACTGCATAAGGTCATATGAGCGCCAAGAGGTGAAAGTCAACAGAGAAGTCCATACAGGACAGGGAATCAGGTTTACTCTGCTCACTTCTCTAGCTTCAACAGCACAAAGTCTGCTTCGACTATCAAGGCACCCCGGAAATAGCAGGTCACAAGAGAGGGACAAATATACAAAAGAAGTAGAGGAAAATGACGATAATAAGGATTAGGAAAGAAAAAGCAGCCGTTCCCTGTTTGCAGTTCAGGCACAGTTATGAGCATGACATTGTAGAATCAGCCCATTTACAATTCTACTGAGCATAAGAACTTGTTAGGTCCCCCCTTTGGGGATGGTTTAGAGACACTTCAGTCAGAAGCATCGCCCCGGGGGGTGAGGTCCCCTGTGTGCTACAGTGAAGCGTTCAACCGGTACACCACAGACACCGGTACCAAAGGTGGATGAAAACTGCAGATTCAACAAAATGTGGCCTACTAACCTGTTAGTCAAATCCATACCAAAACAAAGCTATTCTTGCCTGATAATTAAGCTATGCAGAGGTCAGGGGTCAGTTGCCGCAGTATGAGCAGACAATACAATAAACAGCTGTGGCAACTCCTGAGGCTGTATGGTATTTTACCACAATGAGGAATCTACCAGCTACTTGTTTCAGTAAAAAGATACACAATGACACAATAATTACCATTTAGTTGGGAAAAAGCAAGATAGGCAAACAGGAACAAGGGAAAGAAAAGAAGTATGACTTAACAGGTTTAGTTTAGATCTAGTAAGAGTTTTACGGCACTTGCAACACTATATTATGGTCATACAAGAGCTGAAAATTAGAGGTGATTCAAGAGAGTAAGAAACACAAAACAGAAGGAGTGACAAGGATGACAGATGATTGATAGGAAAGAAGAATTTACAAACCACACCATAGCACCCACTAACCATTCATGTAGGACACAGTTTCACTTTCCCACCACCCTTCAATAGCTCGTGTCCTGTGGTCTATGTAATAATATTTAGGAACAAAATAAACAAATAATCACAACCATCTCACAACAACACATTTACAATAAGGGTAAATCTTTAATTTCAGTTTGATTGAGTACATCAATATCTGTTGATACAAAAGCTGTAACCATTTCATACAATAAACAAAGGTTTGTGCACACACTATGTAATACCACACAGCCCTACACTCCTGATGACAGTCTCAATGGAATGACTCTGTACCCCTGATAGTTCAACCCTGGAATAACACACACAGCCTTCACACACATCAACAAATTAGAAACTATGTGACTGACATCACCACAGGATCTCCAGCACATGGGAATCCAGCAAAGAGATAGTCGACCTCAAACCAAAGAAAAGGCTGTACAGTATACAAACTACAAAGAAGTTCTCGAAAGTTAGTTCATTTCTACTGGATGTGAAAAAGCCATAGGCTCAAACATTGCAAATAAACGTCATGGGCTTGTAATATATAGGATGAAACATTCTGCAACAGCAAGAGGCAGCACAAAGAGGACAAAGGTACATTGTTTACCCATGTCTATATATAGGGCCCCAATCCAGACATAAATTTCATCTCCTGAGTATCATCATAGTTATTTCCAGTACATATGGAATTTGATATTTATCAGTTGTACAGAAAATATAATTTACGTTACACTCACAGCCATATAAGAAATAAATGAAAACAGAACATTTACAAAACATCACATTAAAGAACATACAAAGATACATTAATTTTGCAAACAACAAAAACACAGGCATTTTGCATCATCTGATTTAGTCATGTTGAGGACTACACACTCAGTGTAAATAAAGAAATACTCAACTACATTACTGACCGAAATCATTATGCCATGAGCAATGAGTGCAACTAATGCTATACTTTTCCTTATCTCCTGGAGCTTTGGTACTTTTTCATTATATGAGCCAGCGTAAAACTATCTAGCTATTTAATACAACCCAAAACAAACTGCAGATATAGCAGTACTCTAAGGTATCGAAAAAGAAAGGGGGGGGGGGGGGGAAAAAGGAGGGGTCGGACAAGCGGTCCAAAATAATACGCGCGGGGGGGGGATTTTAAAAAAAAAGGGGGGGGGGGGACACATTCAACCTCATACCCATGTACTAGTAGAAAGAAATCTGTTTTATTTCTCCTTCAGCTAATAAAAGAGCAAGAGATTATGAAATTTTAGCAATTTTAGTTACTGTGACAACTTTTCCCATTTAGGAACAAACCAGTTTCATTAAAAAACACAAACCATTGTACAAAAGTTTTAAACATCACAGAAAATTGAGGTAGCCAACCTGGTACCGGTACTAATACTGAGGGTAATTTGCCATTTACAAAAAAAAAAAAAAAAAAAAAAGAAGAAATTTCATTCAGCTATCTAGATTTTAATCTAGATATATAATGTTTCAAATGATCGTCGGTAGGGGCAAGCAGGAAAATAATCAACGGTGGGTATGGAATAAGGAGCGGGAGGTGCACAAAAAACCTCCTGAAAATTAATAGGGGGTGGGGGGGGGACGACGCTTATTCGATACCTTAGAGTAGTAAGACTACTTTTTAGTTTAGTTTTAGTAGAGGTTATACGGCGCTCGCAACTGCAGAAGGTCATATGAGCGCCAGAAGATTAGAGGTGTTACAAGAGGGTAACAAACATAAAAAAGAAGAAGGGGAGATAAGGACGATATATGTTTGATAGGAAAGAAGAAGCAAACCACACCAGAGCACCCGCAAACCACACACAGTAAGACTACTTGTGAGAAACCACATTACAAAACAATCTAATATTTGTGATCAAAGGACACTTTCTGCTTGCAAGTTTGACATCTCTGAACACATACACAGTCAAGGCATAGTTCTACTAAGACTAAGAGGAAAGCAGAGGTCACAAGTTGTCCTCCATGTCAAAGTGGCCATGCCGACAAATGAACACACCAGACAGGGCAATCAGCTGTGTCACAAAGTGAGATTCAAAACAGACGCCATAAAAAGTGTATCGAGTATCAAACATAAACACACACAAGCGAGCATAAACTCACTCACTGACTCATTCGTTTTAGTAAGAGATGTTACAAGGGAGTAACAAACTCAAAAAAGAAGGTGGAGAGATAAGGATAATAGATGTTTGATAGGAAAGAAAGAGCAAACCACACAAGAGCACCCGCCAACCACCCACTCTCACTTACTCACACACACACACGCAATCACAATTTAAAAACCACACACAAGCATTCACACAAACACATACATACTAACTACTAACACACACACACACACATACGCATACAGAGTTAAATTGACAAAAGCACATAAAATTTACACACTCAAAGACGAGCAATTAACAACATGTCTTCTGAATTAAGGTAAAGCATTAAGAGGTGCATAAATAAAACAACTAAGGAAAGAACAGGCAGCGAGGGAGGTTATCATATGGCACAGAGGTGAGAAATAAAACTACACATAAAATAGAATGGCCTGTCTGCAAAATAAAGATCAAATACAGTGGAACAAGGGACAACAAAAATCCCCTTGTGCTCCACCACCATTCCTTGCTGGTCAAGGGAGAGTATTTTCATAGGTACAAGTTGAAAACACTAATTGTTTGTGTTTTGTTTTTTAACTTGAATAACTCTGATTCCTGAGAGAATCAAATTGACACACAAGGTTTCATACAATGGAATATGAACATTCATAAACCAACATAATAAAAAAACCTAAACCAGCACCTGCACATTAAAAACCAAAAGATGCAGAGATGTTTTTTCTACCGTCAAACTAGACCACTAACATGTGCAAGGAAGAGCTGAGGATGGAACAAGAAAAAGGGGAAGACCAAAAGGAAACAAAAAACCCCCAACTAAGATAAAATAGAAAAAATGGCTAAAATTTCACAGAAAATGTTTGAGAACAAAGGACCCATAGAAAGTGAAACAGATGAGACTCTCAAAGCAAATTAAGCCGCAGGAGAAACTGCCAAGCTTTTTTTAGTAGAGGTTTTATGGCGCTCGCAACTACATGAGGTCATGTGAGCGTAAGAAGATTAGAGGTGCTACAAGAGAGTAACAAAGATAAAAAAGAAGCAGGGGAGATAAGGATGATAGATGTTTGATAAGAAAGAACAAGCAAACCACACCAGAGCACCCGCCAACAACTCAAAAAATGCCAAGACCTTTACAGGTGAACAGTAAGCACTCATGCTGACTTGGACATGGAACACAAGACTCCGTTTCACAAATTGACAAAGTGTTAAGAACAAGTGGATATAATTTGGCAAACGTACAGCTTCTATGCAACAAGGATCAACTAAGTTTAAGATTTTTGATGAAATAAGTCAGAGCTCAGAGCAACTGTACAATGGAATACAACTATGATTGTTGATGAAACTTGTTGGTTTTAGTTTTATGTTTCCAAGTGAAATAATCAGCTGAAGGCACTGCTTGAATCATGATCCATCTTTCAAAACATACAAGCATCATATTGGGGGTCAAAATGTTGCAGTTCAAATAGTAAGCCACAAAAACGCCCAAATTTCCTCTCTGGCAAGAAGGTGAACATTGCACATGATAAGTTGTAAAAGCACAGAGCCCTACCCTGACAGCATGATGCAGTGTACTAATACTTACATCACATACTGAGTTTCTGTGTCACTCTGAACACAGACTAGACCTCTGAGAGATGAAGGGAAAATAGTCAATTCATGCAGGAGACGACAAACTTGATTTGTGCTGTCATATAACAGGTCAGGCGGCATGATGCCCTATGTAATAAAAATAATAATGACAGCATAATTTATACAGTGCATATTCACACTTTACAGCAAGTTCTATCTGCTTTACAACCATTATTATCTCAGCAGATCCTATAAGAACACTCAAAAACATTCTCTGCTTCCTGGAAAGCATACATGGCAAACTGTGAATTGCACATGTTCAAACACTAAAAAGCTTACAAAATCTTTTGCAGTCTCTAGACGAATGTGAATACCCATTCCCACCCGCGCGAAGTGAAGAAAATTTGTGTAAAGTGCCTTTCCCAAGGACACAACTTCAGGTCCCTGACTGGATTTGAACCCACGACCAAGAGCCTAACCACTAGGCCACAGATAACATTTTATGCCTTAAGTTAAGTTCAGATTCAGATATAACATTTTTTTTTCAACGGCTGTTGAGCTGAAGAAGACCTGACAGGAACTTCTGTCTTGACTGTTCGTTTTGTTTCTGTCAGAACAGACTTCAGACTTCTAAATCTCAAGAGCTGACAGAAAGAACAAACTTGAAGGACGAGGCCACTTTTTCACCAGCAGTTGAAAATATTTTCACACAAATTCTGGTTTGAGGACAGGGGATTAAGCATGCGTATACTTACTACTATCTGAACCTTCTCTCAGTATGTTCATCTTATTTGAAACATTTAGACAAAAGTGATCAAGGTAACACACCTCCACAGGAGGTTTAAGCAATAAAAACAGGAATGAGAACTGCAAGAAAGAGACTTGAATCCTGGTTACTAGTAAATAGCCACACAGCACACACAGTCACTGGTTGATACCAAATCTGTTCTATTAATCATTTAATCAAATTCTGTAATTTTTGGGTAAATTCTGTGAACTCTGGACACAACTGCACTGCAAAAAAGGACACAATATGGAAAAACTATTTTCTTTCACAATTCTCTAAGCAAAAATCCCAACAAAATGTTCATACCTAATCAAACAAAAGTAGCTCTGATTTTCATTGCCAGAAAAATCAACACCCAGCAAAAACATTTCTAGAAAAGAGAAACGATACCCTTTGTGAGTGAGAATCTTTGATTGGTGCACGAAACATTACCATAAATAAATAAATAGATTAAATAAAGTTAGCTCAGCAGGGGGTCAACGGTCAACGCCCACATTATGCTGGAGCCGGAAGGTAGCGGTCAGAATATCTCTGAGGTCAGGCATGGCGTTAACGTCCACCCCACTCTGCCGCAGCGCAGTCACCTTCTTTTCCAGTTCAGTTTTCTCTTTTCCCAGTGTCCAGCACAGCCGTATGGCGGTCAGCATCAGTGCCACACGGAGGTCCTCATCAGCAGCTGATCCCTCGGAACAGCAGCATTTGAGCGCCACCTCCACACAGGCGTGAGCCATAGTAGGCTTGTCAACACTGACATAACACGACACCAGCGAACACAGACACTGACACACATACGGATGGAAATCTCCGTACAACTTCTCCAGCACAGGCAAAGTCTTCTCAAATGCTACTATGGCAGCAGCAAAGTTTTTGTTCAGGAAACAGAGTACAGCATTGCTGTAGCCGTCAGTGAGGAAAAACTCCATAAACTCTTGGGAGTAGCGAACTTCAAAGTGGGAGAATAGGTGTGCAAGGTACTGCTCAAACGCTGTGCTCCTCTTGGCAATCGTCTGACTTGTGAAGTTGCCAGTGAGAATTTTCCGAGGGAAAGAGATATTAGACATCAGGGGAGGGAACTTTTTCTTCAGTCTTTGGTGAAGATTCTCAAAGTCTGAGTAGCGGCGAATGACGACGGTCTGAGTAGAGCGTGTTGTTTCCCTATGAGGGTTAATTAAGATTGTGTAGTTCTGGGAAAGAGAAGTCATGAGAAAGGTTTAGGTCAATGGCAGGGGAGAGACTTCAAATCTGGTCAAAAAACAAAAAAGAAAATCAATTATGTCACTCACATTAAGAAAGGACATAATATATGAGAGCCTTCCTGTATTACGACACCTCTCTTCTCACTGCCAGCATGTGGAAATCAGCTATCAGCTTTGATGATGACAGTATAAAACTTGAGCATTTCATCTTCCAAAAACATGAATAACAGCAAAAACTTATGACACAAATTACTGGCTACACAACCAGGCTTATACAACTGAATAAGAAACCCGGAACTTTCCTCTCTGTATCACGACACAAATCTTTCTGAAGCAGAGCTGCCTACCTCAAATTTCCTATCTCTGGTAGCTTCAGGGTAAATTTCAGGTACTTTGACCAAAATTCAGGTAGTACAAAGACAAATAAGAAAAAAAAAGTTTGCTTCTACCAAATAGTAATACACGTATTATTATGTTATCAAATTTTAAAAACATGTGTGTGGTGTGGTGTGTGTGTGTGTGAGTGTGTGTGTGTGTGTGTGTGTGTGTGTGTGAGAGCGTGTGTATATGTATGTGTGTGTCTGTGTGTGTGTCTGTGTGTTTGAGGGTGCATATATGTGAAGGTAAACAGAGTTGATGAAACAAGATGTTGTTTTAAAAACAATTATGGACTGTCGTTCAAGGCACCTATCCTATCAATCAGTATTGGATATGGATTTGAGTGTAAGGTGACTGCCAAACTGACTTTGAAATCTACAGCCCCATATCAATAAAGACCATATTAAAACATATTTCTTAACAATATCATGCCAACAAGGCACAATAAGTTCTGTGTGACTTAGGTATGCAGACAATTTTTTCAAGCTTTCCCCTAATTATCATTTTTTGAAAAAATGAATCCTGATCTGGTTCTGTGGAAAGGCCAGCTGTCAGAACCTTGGTTACAGCATTCACTGATTTTAATAAGTGTGCAAGATAAAATTTACCACAGAAAAACTTCATGGATGGGCCTCAAAGTAGAGCAAAAAGTGAGAAGAAGAGAGCATGTTCTGAGCCCCAGAGTTGGAAGGACTGAGGAAGCTAGGGAAGTAGTGATGTTGAAACCTAGCAATCATTACATCATGGACTCAATATTGATTTTAAAAAACGTTTAATCAGAGAACCAATTTTAATCATCTGTGCTTTCATCCAATGACAAACTATCATGATGCATATTTACTCAAAGCTTCCAACATAGGTGCACTCAAAGATAGTACATAACAATATGGTCCACTCAGCCAAAAATGTGTCCGCCGGAAATCCGCTCTTTGCTTCAGATGGCGCTGCAGTCTGTTTTGAAGCTCTCTTTCGTTTCTCCAGAAGAAGAATAGGAATAGCACTTCCCTTGCCTGTGCAGATCGACATCAGCAGTTCGGGTTCGTTCAGTGCGGAGTTTTAGGGTTAAAAATTTTTTTTTATGACCTATCGCCTATCATTCTTAAGTCAAATTAAACGAAGAAAACAGTCACCCTTTCCTCCGGAAAAAAGCCTTCCGAAATTTGAATTCTCATTTATTCAAAAACTTGTTAGTTTCACTTTGATTTTTTTAAACACAAGTAGGGTAACTCTGTTCGCAAAGGGTGCGCATTTGCGAAAAGAGGGCGCCACTGAATTTTGAGGACACATTTTTAATCGGCTCAAAGAGAGGAGTGGACCATCTTGTTATGTAAACTCTTTGGTGCAATACACTGCAAAGCACTCTAATCATTGAGTTTGGTTCCCAAATCTTATCCTCTGGTACTGTGTCAAGCAGTTCAAGTGCATTTTAAAAAAATTCCCCAAACTCCTGCCACTCTGAAGTACCGTTCTTCGCCACTGACAAGTCGCTACCTCAGAATTACAAAGATCTATCTGCTCAGCACCTAGTTTCGAGAAATTTTACGTCAAACATTTTAAGTTTCAAATCAAGTAAAGCTTTTTCAAATGCAATTCTTTGAATGTCTCGATAATCTCCGAATAATCTTGCGATTTTAACAGAGCATATAGACCATTTGTATCTTTGATCTCATGGTCTTGGTAATTCAAAAGGGCCCAAAACGTTAGATAGAACTTTGCAACTCTGAGGTAGCTAAGTGTCAAAAGATGTTTTGGTGCACAGATTACACCCCAGTTGCTGACATAAGTGGTGCTCACACTCATTCATTTTTTGGGGGGTTATACGACACAAAACAAGCAGCAGCGGAAGTTGAGTTTTATTGTCAGGTCTTCAAAGTGAGGGACGGCTGACCAGAACTCGAATGACCCCTGTCTTAATGTGTCAGTGCATTGGATAATTCTGAATGAGGAATACTGATTACTATCATGATGTTCCTGTGTTTGAGCACAAGTTTTTAACTCTAACCATAATCAGACTGGCTTGGGGAATCTGCATGGTAATGAAAAGGTAAGTGGCTCTTGATTTCTCTGATTAAGTCTATTGAGCCTTCATATGGCACTGAAACTTGCGGCATACTTGACATGGGGGCTCTCGTGGCCTAGACGTTCAGGTGTCTGCCTCTCATTCAAAAGTCTCAGGTTCGAAACTGGGTAGTGATGGAAAAATTTTCTTCGCTAAAATTGTCTCCTTTCAACACCTTTCCTGCTCTCTACCAATGTTCGGTCATCTGCTTTTGTCTTCACTTTCGGCCCCCACACGTCACCTCCTTTGCCCCCTCCTCTGGGCTCCTGACTCCGTCCGCAGCCTTTCTACTGCCACTCCTTGGCTCCTTCTTAATGCTGTCTTTCAGCCACACCCCTGATCTTCTGGTAGGAAAGATCTACACCTAGCCTTCTAGGACAAAGGCAAACAATCTCTGAGGTGCACACATTAAAGATCCCTCAGTGGTATAAAATAGATAAGAGTACGCTTCGGCCGCCACTCGGGCAAAATTCAAAATTTCCTACCAACTGAAAATGTTTAAGGGGTCCCGCGTGGTCATATGACCTCAAGCAGTTGCGAACACTGTAAAACACTTACAAAAAAACCCAAAAAAACTTCCTGACACTGCGAACACTACCAGTAAAAATTAAACTAACACTGACCTTAATGGGACAAGTATTTAAAGTTTGGAGAAAGAAAGTTTTTCCCTCAGCCCTGCCACTTTGTACTGGACAGTAAACTTTGTAGTGAAAGTTCGCAAAAGCTATGAGCCACCCCAGCAGCGATGTAAAAGGGGTCAATGAAAGACCCATCAACTAACGAGGACACAGGGAAGAAAACGAGCTGTTAAAAAAAATTCTCCAAAAATCTTGGCGTCAATTGTAAATTTTGGTAATTTGGGGACCTTTATCAGTTTGGTGGTGGAACAGATCCAAACTTGTTACAAACTGGACAAAATGGTAGAAATAAGCAGCCTTGCTGAGGGATGCTTTTATCAAACATATTAAAAATCTCTAAAGTCCATAAGGAAAACTTACTACATGTCCTGAACGTCCTTCCCGGATGACTTCGGCAGATATAACCTCAAAGGTTACACTGCTCCCCGAGGTATAACTGCCCTCACAAGGCACCTGATAGCAGAACTCTGTGGACATTCACAAGGGATCAGTCCTGGCAAACCTTTCAAATAGATTATATAAGTCCCAAAGTTACAGTTACAACAATTGTAGTGTCAGGGAATTGTATGAGCTTGTGCATCTTTCATTTTCAAATTTGAAGACCAATCCCACACATCAAACAATCTGAGCGGTGAAAGCAGTTAAAAAATGAAAAAAAAACCCCATTTTTTTACATTCAGGACTATTGTCGTTTCCTTTGTTTTGCCTTACTTGAGCAGAATTCTTCAGTCTAGAAATATTTCAAAATAAAAAAGTAGAGGAATGGATCTGATAAAAGAAAAAAAAAAATCTGCACAGTGATAGCTGAATTATTTGTTAAGAAATCACAGTACTGGTAATCAGTAAGTAAATTTAGGGCTGATCTGATCAGTCATAGTTTTTGTAACAAAGGTTAGCCAAAACAAAATGTGTACACATGAAAGAACTCCATGTATGTTCACTAAAGATTATTAATAAATCTTTGGCAACACTAAGAATGTAATCATATATTAATAATAATAATAACAATATCATTTATACAGTGCATATCCATGCTCTCTTGCATGCTCTATGCCCTTAGTAATTGCTCTAGCAGAGCCTGAACACTCAGAAACAATCTCAGCTTCCCAGGACTGTACAGGCAAGCAGCTGATTAAGCGCTCATTCGCTAACAAACTGACTAGACCTTTTGCTTTCTATAGCTGGATACCCATTCCCACCTCGGTAAAAAGAGGAAAATTTGTAAAAGTGCCTATTCCAAGGACACAAAACCAGGCTCCTGCATAACCTTTCGATTGCCAGACCAACAAGTCAGTCTACTAAACCACTGACACTACATCATATTGTCAACTGACATAAAACAATTGCTGAAAAGACAAGAAGTATCAGTAAAAGTACATCAAAACAAAACAGTCAGAACACGATAAAGGAAGGATAGAGACTAATAATAATAGATAGCATTTGCATAGCGCAAATCCCGCTCAGCAAGCTCTAAGAGCTTCACAATGTATACTACTACCTCAGCGCAGACCTGAAAGCATTCTGAAACAACCTCAACTTCCTGGGAAGCAAACAGTGCAAGTGGCCATTTATAGGCGCTAAAACACTAACATACAGACAACATCTTTCACTGCCTATGGCCGGGTACCCATTCTCACCTGGGTGAAGAGAGGAAAATTCGTGTAAAGTGCCTTTCCCAAGGACACAATGTCAGGCCCACAGCTCGAACCCCCGAACATGCAACCTCACGATTACGAGTCCGGTAGCCTAACCATTAGGCCACCGACGCCACTACATGACTAACAGACAGAACAGCAGGGAAAAAAATAAGTGCAAACTACCAGTGGCGCCCTCCAATCACCAGCAGAAACCAGAAGCAAACTCAATGGCAACCACAAACATCCAAACAATAAGAAGAAAATAAATATATATGTATATACCTTTACTTCCATCTGTTGGAGATTTCAGTGTGTCATCAGCAATGGCAAGAGTCCCAGCAATTCCTCCAAACACTGCATCTTGGTCATCGGTCAAGGCATTCTCCTCATGAAGCTGAGGAAAATCATTCGCTGCACCGCTTCTTGATGTTTCCAGGCTTTTCTTTTCATTGTCTGACACACTATACGCTTTGATCTTATTAAGCAGTGAATTCATCGCGTCCAGGACAGCCACTCACTGTAGAAGGAAAAGTGATCAACAGTAAAATAATATGTCAAGACGTGGCGGAATTAGGTACTCGTCAATTTTTTGGCAGGTGGAGTTATTGATAAAATCTTAGAGCTTGTTAATTCGTCTTGCTCGATGAAAAGAAAAATACCCATTTCTGTCTCAAAGAAGATGAATTTGCAACATGATTTTTAGGGTAAAATTAACTCTTTCCGGATGTATCTCCGAATCCATACCCCTAGAGGACGTATCGCCGATATATCGGATATGATAGGGTGCCTCAGTGTTGCTTCATTTTCACACAATCCGTCATTATAATTACTTTGCATTGTTATTGAAAACAAAGAAGAGACTGAGGAAACAAAAACATCTAGTGTCACTTTCAAAGTGTCAGTTTGGAGAAAAACGAGTGAATTAGTTCATGCGGTCGTGCATCAACAAAACGATGTAACCGGACTCAGTAGAAATTAATTAAACAAAAATTGGAAAATCGCTTTCAAATAAAAAGCTGCGCATTCAGTAATTTATAGATTATGCTCTTGGCCTGTATGATAAGATAGCAAGTCTGATTTGCTTGTTTTATGTTGGAATGTATTCCTCTTCAATTTCCTTCAATTTGATATATCATATATGTTATGTTTTTATGATTATATTAAGTTATTTTGCACACCAAATCAAGCCACAGAAATTACGTCTAGACCCCCCAAAAACTATGTCCAGAAAGAGTTACATTATGAAAACAGTTGCCAAAGTTTGGTAACTCCATCTTGAGAGTCCTTAGAAACTGAAAATTTACATATTTTTTTCCTTTAACCCTAGAAGTTCTCAGCGTTTCACCGGAAGTAACCCGCTAAAAATGCCCCGCCGCCACGGCTGATCGGTTGAAAACATGGGGGTTTGGCGAGGGGGATCAGCTGAGATACCTGAGATGTGTACCTGTTACTGAAAAATAACCATTTACGGCTCAACAGATGATAAAAGGCATATAAAACCATATATCTTTTCTCAAAGCTGATAGAATGAGTCATTCAAAAATGATATGATAAGCAATCAAATAAATACAAAGTGCAAAACGCGATAAACTCAACAATTAGGACTTTAGCACAGCGGAACAAGTGATACATGTGTGTAGTCACTCAGCAGGACCGCGTCACTTTATCGAACGGTATCTTGGCACTCTACGAGATCAAGATAACTTGCAAGTCATTGGTCACTATTTATAACTTTGACCTGTAATTTACTACATCATTTTCCATAAGGAATACTGAAATTTTCCATTGAAAGCAACTTTATGGCCTGCGCACTTCCCGGGTAGCCTGGCTTACGCCCTTTATATAGGGCCTGCGCGCTTCCAGTAAAAAATTAATCAATGTTTATCCACCATAAAATCTCCACAGAATGTGTTTTTTAAAACTGACAGATGTTGAGCCAAGAAATAGAAATTCGATGGAACTCTTCTGCCAAAATGATGGAAAAATGCCGTTTTCTTCAATTTCATTAAACTTTGAGGAGCACTTGACTTCACCACTGAGATATTAGTCTGCAGGTTAGTTTGACTGCAGCACAAGCAGTTGGCGATGAAACCTAGTGACGTAACCCATCTTTAAGTGGCAAAGCCGGGCCTGCTATAATGAGATACCTAGAAAATCTAGTCAACTGGCGAGGGAAGCCCCGGAAGACAACAAAAATAGACGGCAGAAATATTCATCACTATATTTGGGCCAATCACAGAGATGAGCTAGGTGCTCGCTGCAGCCTCATGTAAAAAATCTAAACTTCTAAGTCTAATATAAAAGTAAACTTCATTTAGGCCCATCCATTTTACACGAATTTGACTTATACAGTGGCTACACGTAGTTTGCAGGCTACCTTCACGGTACCCTGAATCATCCACCATTGGCACAGAGGCACGACTGAAACGCTGCGGTCGCTCAAACTCAAAGTGAATGAGGAAACAGCACAGGAATACTAGGCCTAGCGCAAAAAATAATGCAGCGGTGGTCTGAATGTAACGGAGTTTACGGATGGCGAAGGCGGGCACAGCAAAACAGCCTTGGTTGACAAGGCCTTGCTTGTTCAGCACACGAAACATGACTTCGATTCTCTTCCCGTGTGTGCGAACCCGGCAACGATCGACAATTTGAAAACGAAGTGGCTGAGAGTCTAGCCGTACTTAAGTACTTAAGTCTAGCCGTACTTAGATCTAGGTTTGGCCCAATCGACTCAAGCCTGTTAAGTACACAGGTCTCATTAGATCTAGATCTAGTAATTATTCAGGTTTAAATACATGCAAGTCAGTAAGGCACCTTTTGGTTTTGTCTGAAATACAAATACTTTAGGCATTGCAAACTAAAATTTTCATTTACAATTCAGCCATCAGTCTAGCCGTCCTTAAGTACGGCTAGCCTGGCTGTCTAGCCGTACTTATCTTAGGCCCTATTTACATTAGAAAACAGGAGGTTTAAAATACGTGCACTGTCATTAAGGAACCTGGTTTTGTCTCAAATACAAATACTTTAGGTACTGCACACTAAAAATGTATATTTACAATTCAGTAGGCCTATTTTTTGTAAATGGTCAGTCTAGCCATCATATTAAGAATAAGTACGGCTAGACTGTGTGTCTAGCCGTACTTAAGTACGGCTAGACTGTGAGTCTAGCCATACTTAAGTACGGGTAGACTGCCAGTCTAGCCGTCATTAAGTACGGCTAGCCTCTTCCATTTGAAAATAAAAGTCGTTTGAAGAAACAAGGGAAAATGAAAGAAGGCCAAGGCATGAAGAGGGGTGGGAGGGGGTGAAGTGAGAAAGATCATTCTTAAATTGCAAACAACATTCAGGGCGCCATGAACGTAGCCACTGCGTTTGACTTAACATACTTTGCAAAAAGATATAAGAACTTAAAAGGAGATTCCCAAATTCGAGATCAAGATCTAGATCTAGATCTGGAAAGACTTCCGCAACGAGCGACCAGGGAAGATTGAAGAATACCGGACCTTCTCGTACACTATTGCGCGAGAAAGTGGGGCGGGTGGTTGGGTTGGGGGAGGGGGGTTCAGGGGGGTCTCCCCCCTGACAAAATTTAATGAATAGATCTACCGGTCCGAGATTCTTCATTGAGAGATATTAAAAACGGGGAAATCATGAATTCCTAAGGTTGAGACATAGGCAAAGTCAGTCCGCTGGTCCGGTATTCTTCTATCTTACCAGCGACCACCCCATCAAACACAATAAAGAAGAGGCCTAACCCTAACCCTACCCCAAGTCCTAGCCCTCAATTCTGCTCTGTCTCATAGTGGTCGCTCGTTACGGAATTCCTCCCCTAGATCTAGCATGATTAAGAACCTAATTTATTCAGGTTCGAGGTCAAATCATTACTTCATTACTAGATCTCTAGATCTAGTTAAATCTAGATCTAGATCTAGATCTAAATATCTAGATCTAGATTCTAGATCTAAATCTAGATCTACTGGCAGCTGATGATGACCAGCAAGACAGAAGAGGAGAAGAGCCAGGCGTTGAGTTCGTGTCCTGACTCATGAGCAAAGCTTTATGTGCTTAACCTTTATGTTTATTTTCAGAATTATCCAGGTCGTCATTTGGAGGGTAAAGTCTCCAAGAGACCCACTTGAGAGTATTGCACTTGCAAACAATCAAGAAACGGGTAATAAAAACACCAGGAAGCAACCGGGAACGTTCGGAGTTTCCTTCCGCTGCTCGCTCAGATCTTTGTTTACGTTCTTTCCGGAAGCTACGAGCCAGATTTTAACAGAAGGTTAATAAGACAATTAATAAAATTTCTAATAAAAGAAAAAGAAGACTCTTACGTCAAATACAAACATTTTTTTAAAGCAGCTCCTTGAAAGGAATACTGAAGATTTTTAGGTTGAAATGTATGTGTAGGAGTGAAGATCTAACATGTGAGGGGTGTATGAGGACGTTATAAATATATATCCATCTTGGCATAATATAGAAAAACTCCGCCCACTAAAGTTTGTATGGATTGTAGGCTACAAGGATGAAGGTTTTCCAAACAAAAAAAACAAAAAATTCAATAATGTTTGCTGTGGACACAAATTCGGACAAACTAGGAGACACATAGTTTTCACCTTCCGCTTTTTACTTTTTATTTTTCTGGTCAGAGTACAAGCTTTCTCCAGCATTTTTTCTTCCTTTTACTTTTATTGAAGCCACAATCACAATCCGAAATAGATCTAGATTCTAGTTCTAGATCTACTCTAGACTGTCACCGTGTCTGTGCCAAGAGTGGGTGTCTATGATGTTATTTGATAATAATATTATGATGTGAACTAAAATATTATAATAAGGTAGAGTTAGACTACAAAGTAATAATTCATAAAACCAAAAGCTACACAATGCCAAGAAACATATGGGAGGGAATCGTTGTTATTTTCTGTGATCATTTTTCAAAACGATTATATCCCTTCTTGTACGGAACCGAACAATGCTGTTTGTGGCATGCGCGCCGCATGGGCACAAAACTTCTTTACTCTTATTAAACATGATTTTTTAAAGTCAGTTTCGTCCTTATCTCTCCTTTTTGTATCGGCACTTATATGACGAAATTGTTTTGCAACTGCCAAAGAACGCAGACTCAAACAAGGACTCTGTAGCCTACTCTACGTGAATTCTGTATTATTAATTAGACGTGTCGTGTATTGGTAGTCTTTTATTGTTATGTCTATGCCAATGGTTCCCCCTAAATTAATGCTATTGTGAAGGCCAATAAATAAATAAACAAATAAATAAATAAATAAATAAATAAATAAATAAATAAATAAATACATTAATTAATTAATTAATATCATATGGCTAAGGCTGATGGCTGTTCGCTTCTAACTGGCTGAAATTTTCTAGCCCTACATAATGTAATGAAATGTAATTTTCTAAATTATTTGGTCTACTCACTCACCATCCAAACAAGACAATAAAACCGAGTTACCATCTGGCTGAGAAATTTGGCTTTCAGCCTTAACTTAGTCTTTTTGAAAAAAGAGGGGAGTTGTGTCCTGGAAGGATGGTAATTCTTCCAGCTTGAGCATCACTAGGCCGTGAGCAGCCAAGCACCTCGTTCTATATCGGAGCACCGGGGAACAGCGACTCTATTTTTAAAAACAGGAAAAAATTTGTCCGGGGAACAGAGACTGCCCAAAGCGAATTCCTCCTCGTGATGGTATTGATGATGGTATCGATACACCCGTGGCCCGCCAAAAATTTAAGATTTTTCCATAAACATTTAAAACTATTTCTAATCGTAAAAATAATATCAAATTCGGAACCAGAGTATCTAAATTAACAAATTAATGTGAGACATCATGGTGAAATCAGGCGCTCGTCAAAATAATGAAAATGAAAACTGCTTTTTTCTCGCGGTTTGTCATTTTTCATCGAATTTTGGGTTTTGGGCATAGCACCTTTTATGTCCTTTAAAAAGCACATTGCTGTGGGGATTTTACTTAAAGATGTCGATTAAAGGCACAAAAATGTAAATTTGCAATATCCAAGCACTCTCAAACTCTGGAGATCACCAAACTTTGGTGGCCGTTTTGTCACTTGTTCCACTAATTATACCTTTGAAACCAAGCAACCCCCCCCCCCCTTCTTCAATCGCAAATATCTCGACTGCTATTCAAGATAGCTTGGTACTCTTTCAGGGAAAGACAGACAAATGAACAAGCACTAAACTGATATCAATAACTCCGTAAGCTCAAAAATTAACGAGCGCCTGATTCCACCGTGTTGTGACACAAATTAACTCGCTGATGACTGTTTTTCTTGCTGGATTGTTTAAGATCACAAAAAGAAGTATTTTATAGATTCTTACCAAGATTGCATCGTGGAGTATTTTTCTATAATAAAGAGCACAGACAGCAGTCACTTTTAACTGATCTTATAATAGACCCCCCTCCCCCCCCTCAGTGTGAAGTGACAAGAGGGAGGCTGTGACGCAAAATTCCTTTGAAGTTTGCCGCCGCGCGGGATTAAACTTTGCGCGCAGAATTTTCAAAATAATTAAAAACTGATTTCATTTTCGAAATCGGCGTATCAAAATTAGCAAAGAGGCTCACTTGGAACATGATTTGATGCCATATATTTCATAATTTAAGCAAACTTTGTTTTTCAACTGTCTATTTTCAATCTAAAGTTATGAATCAAGGTCACCCAGTGCGTTGTTAGTGCATCTGACCGCAAAGCTGCTAGGACTCGCGCTGCACACTAGATAATTTATCTACTAGACTAGCTACTCTGCATGCATAGTCACTACTGCACAGTCACTGTACAGTGTACAGTATGGTGACTTGGTCGAAAGACACCGTTTTTCTACTTATTGAGAGGTAGAGGTCTACAGATATCACGAATATCTGTGGACGATTAAGTCCAGAGACTACAATAACAAATTATGAACAGAGGGCGTAGGGAGAGTTTGTGTCATTAGAAGTTTGCAACTAGATCTAATAACGTCGTGGGCCTCTTTTTTACATTTGTTAAGTAACAACACACAATGCAGGCAAATTGTAGCGTAGAGTCATCTGGCACAAGAAGAAGGAATCTCTCACAATTTAAAGGGAATTGGACACTATAAATTGGAATGTGTAAACAGAATATGGAGTTTGATAAATCTGACAGTTCTACTATACTCTACCACATTTTTAAGTATACACTGTTTTAAAATGAAAATAGCTAGTTTCACAATGAGTCGATATTCTTTAAAATTTCAGGAATACGAATTCAATCAATTTAAAAAGCGAAAACAATTACAACAATACGGAATGTTAACATAACAGGTTTATTCACGACTTACAAGAGTATGGGGGTGGTCTACAAAAGTACGGTAACATGATCAGTAGCGTTGATGACGGCTTGAATTCGTCGCCACCTTGAATCAATCAATCGCTGCACTGCCTGTTGAGGGATGGTATTCCACTCTCCATGGGAGGCTCTCTCAAGTTGAGGAAGTGTCTGAGGCTGGGGTTGTCGCATGTTGTTCAACTCATCTCTGGTTTGTCTTGCCGTGTTGAAAAGATTCCGTAGATGCGACAGGCGTATAAAAAGATCATCTCTAGGAGTAGTTTTTCTTCTCCCACGATGGCATTATCGATCCTTTCCTGATTTTGTTGTTTTCTCACTACTCATTGTTGTGTACACAGTTCTTTCATTAAAATGTTCCGCAACAGTGGATACTGAGGCAACCCCGTGGATCAATCCAACAAATTGATTAACATTTCGCACATTTTTTCTTTGGGCGTGGCATCATGGAATGTAGACAAAACCAGTTTTATCACTGGCGAATTGTTACAAAAATGACATAGCTTTGATTTGTGCTTCTTTTTTAAACAAATCATTGCCGTATCATGAGTAATTCTAAAAAAACACAAAACAAGTAACACGATTTTGTTTTATTGAGCTTCAAATTGTGTATACTTAAAAATGTGACAGAGTATATAAGAAGAATCTAATACGATCTATAGCTGAGAGTAATCTGGGCTTTACATATTAACCCTTTTCACGGCAACCTCTTTATATTCATTTGACCAACAACTGACTGTAACACACCCTCACGTGTATTAACAAATTTAATCTAGTAAATCGAATCAAACTCAAGAAAACAAGAAGTTAAATGCTGACTATAATATTATGTCCGTATGAACATTGATAAAATTGTTGAATTCAGTCTAGATTAAAGCTGGCATTCAATATGCCCGAAAAACCGATGCGAACTTCGGGTGCGAATTTCGTGTACGAAATTCGGGTGCGATGAAAAAAGAGACCTCTTTCCATATACCCGAAATTCATATCCGTCATTTCTTACTGAAATCACGGCACCAGTTCAGTCAGAGCAAGCACTCTACGTTGAAAACGAGAAAATTTTGCTGTTAGAACTCCTGTTCCTACGAAAGCAGCTTTAAATTGCTTCGTCCAGACTTGTTGATGGTCCTTCCTTCATAAGCTTTGTTTTCTTGGGTCGTTTTCTTGTCGAAGCTTCGGTCATATCACTGACAGCGCTGGCTGATGTGGCTGCGGCACAGACAGCAATCTAAGTTATAATAAATGTATGTTAGAAGTTATATTCAAGTGCATTTAAGGAGGGGGGGGGGAGTGAAATGCTATTTTTGTTATTACATGATTTAAACAATAAATTATGATAGCATAGATAGATTACATAGACTCCTGAAAGTTTCCAACAAACTTTTTAAAAAAGTGGTTGCCATGGAAACGGCAGCCACCTTAAAAATAAACACCTCTTTTCAGTCTTAGTTTTAACACTTCTCTCTCGAACCAAGGAAATCAACATTTCGACGTTTTCCCACTTATCTAGTGCTTCCATGTTGCTTCGTTCCTTTGAAGTAGATTTGGCGGGAAATGAGCCCCTCACCCTTCACGAAGAATTCGGGTGCCGAAGAAAAAAGTTTTGCTACCTCGTACGAAACAAAATCTTCGCGTGCGAATTTCGGACTCGGCCTTGCGAAATTCCGGTATATGGATTTACACAATGACAAAAAGGTTGGTGCGAAAAAAAAGTTCGCACGCGAAATTCGCACCTGAAATCGCATCAGTTTTTCGGGCATATGGAATGTCAGCTTGAGGGGAAAAACAACCTTTATATGGCACGTGGGGGTGATGTGAGCGAGGAAGCATGTAGCCAGTTTTGATGACGCGTTTCGACATGTGTCAAGACGGCCTGCTTAAACCGAAACAGCTACGCACATGGCTGGTTAGGCCAGGACACT